TCTCTGCAGTCTCTGTCGGTGTCTGTCCCACCTACGCAGGCAATAAGAGATGGGATTCCCTGGGGGAATGGGCAGGCTTCACTCTGTGCCAGCTAGACCAGGCGGTTCCTGGCTGGAGGCCCCTTTTAGTGGAGGCAAACCAAACCCCTTTTTGTAGCAGTGGTCGACTTGGGTACACAGAAGCCCATCCCCTCATATGGGGGTGCTTGCAGCCCCCATGTGCCCTTCCCCTGTGTGTCAGACCCTCTAACCTCTCCGTAGGGTGGGCAGTAGGTAGATGACAGTGTATTTGCCAGTGTGCCCTGGGAGCCCAAATGCCTGACTCCAAGGGTTCCTTGGACGCCTGTCCAGGTTTTACTCTGACCTGTGGGGTTCCTCCTTTTGTGACTCAGCTGTAGTGACCTCTTTGGTCATAGCAAGATGTCCCCTGTGTTTGCTCTCTAAGGTGTCCCTGACTGTGGCTAGGGTCACCCTTTCTCACTCTCTCCATGGTGTGGCCATGGGCCTGAAGGATCTTGGAGGGAGCATTGTCTACCTGCTGCTGGGGACACAGAGCACAGGTGACCTTGGACTCTATGAAGCATTGATTTACTTCTCTATAAGCACCGTTCTCTCAGAGTCCCTTCTGCTGTTGGCATTCCACGTGCGCTACGACTTGGCTCAGTTCTGAAGGCCAGCCAATTCTTGGCCGGGTCCCTTGTCATTCTGTGAGCACGCCTGTCTCGTTCCTGCTGTGTTCCAGGCTAGTGCTTCCAGTGTGGGGCTAGCTGTGACGGGCCACCCACCTAGCTCCCATTGTCACCCTCTGCAGTGTTGACCTCTACTGTATCAGGGACACCTGGGAACACAGTCCTCCCTGTCCTGACTGGCTGAAGGCTTTTATGTAGAGTGGCTTGCTCCCTCCCTCCCTCCCTCCCTCCCTCCCTCCCTCCCTCCCTCCCTCCCTCCCTCCCTCCCTCCCTCCCTCCCTCCCTTCCCACCCCACCCCCCAACATCTCACTATGTAACCCTGGCTGGACTTGACCTCACAGACATATGCCGCCTTTGCCTCTGGAGCGCTAGTATTAAAGGCGTGCTTGGCATTTTGTACAGTTTTTTTTGTCTGGAGCAGTTTTCTAGGCAGCCCTGGGGGTCAGTTCGTGGTCCAGTTCCTCACTGTGGGGTTGGTCTGTCACTTGACATGCCCCTGTTGACAACATTGTTTTTTTGTTTGTCCTTTTTCTCTTCCACTAAGAAGACTCTGCCAGTACCCCTAAGTCAGTTGGTAACCCCTGCCGTCTCCTGAGTCACAGCCTGCTGGCATGGCACTGTCCTCAGTGAGCCACAGCCTTCTCCAGAGGGAGGCCTACCACCTGGCGCCTGCTTCTCTGATGGACCCAGATTATTTGAGATTCTGTTTGTAGTGGCTGACCTCACCCTCAGAGCCAAGATCTTTAAACAGCCTTCCTAAGGGGTGATCCACACCCTTCCTAAGGTATCGTGTGCAGGGACCACGTGAGGACTTGATCATTACATCCGTCTCCACTGTCTTTGGTCTTTGGGTCTCATGGTGCTCCCACTGGGGCCTGGGCGGCTTAAGACTCATGGGGAGCAAAAGCCATCCTGCTGGGCTATGTAGGCCCCAGAAGGGCATCTGTCCTGTTGTTCTCAGCCCAGGTGACTTTGTGTCTGAGGGTGAACATTACAGGTTGGCTCTTGGGGCCCTGGAGAGCTACTGCAGTTGAATCTACAGTGATATCCTGGGCTATGGTGAGAGCATGTGTATGCACGTGCCAGGGGTCTTCATGTGGCCTGACCTCTGGGCTGTGCACAGGCACTTGCGGAGTCCTCGCCCTCATCCTCAGCAGCCAGCGCTGCAAGGGCTCCCGAATCACCAGCCACTGGCACTCAGCCTCAATGTTATCATCACAGCCCTGAGCTCAGCTGCAGAATGGTCTCCTGTCAACAGCCCAGAGCCATCAGTGGGGCCTGAGCAGTGTGGTCCCTAGCAGGGCCTGGGAGCTTTGGGCTCAGATGGGGCTAGCATCCTGGTAAGGCACCTCGCCTGTGGGAACCAGACAGGCCAGAAGGCTTGGGGCACATTAGAGCAGTTGGGACACAGGACCGGTGGCTCACTGTCCTCTGTGAGGGCTGCACGCAGGCTTTGTCCTTTCCTGACTGTTTAGTTTCTAACTGCTGAGGCCTTTGCTTATTTATTTTCAATGTTCTTGATAATAATTCTGAGCCATTAGAGGGGAAAATTATATTCAGAAACGCTGTTTCTTGCTTTATTTGTTTGATGATTTAGAGCGATAGAGAGCAGCACATACGCTGGCTTTTATAGTCTGGTAATTATTCACATCCATCAGCCCTTCCGGGGGATAAACAGAACACCGCGGAAATTACACTATTAATAGTGGCCTCCTCCGTGGGCGGGAGGCGGGCAGGAGGGCAGGAAGGGAGACTGGTGTGTCCGCTGAGGCCTCTTCATCCAGTTGCACCAGGGCTCAGCTGCTCAGTTCCACCCACGGGGCTGGAGACCCATGGCGCCCTGAGGCCTTGAGATCCCCTCCCCCACACACTTGATACCTGTCCTGTACCCTCAGGGCTGTGTGCCTCGTGTCCCCCAGATGGCCCTGGGCTGCCCAGCACCACTCAACACAGTGAGCCAGGCACAGAGTTCATGCCCCCCATCTCATGTTGGGGCACTTGGGGCTCCTGGTCCCCACTGTGCCCCAGACTGACTTTCCCCACAATGGCTCAGTCACTCAGCAGAGTCAGCCATAGTAGGTGCAGTCACCACTTGTGGCCTGGTTTGTGGGTTCAGCTTATGGTTTACCTTAGAGGTAAGGAGCTGGGTCAGCTATCCTGTCCTTCCTGGAGACTCCAGCTCTTGTTTCCTTCTAGAACCTTCTAGCCAAACTTACCCTTGCCCTTCCTCAGGCTTTTTTTTTTTTTTTTTTTTTTTGCATAGTGTCATGAGTACTAACTGGGGAGAGTGCCACAACCAGCACACCCTCTCAGGATTGCATCCGGAGCAGCTCGCACTCCCCAGAAGGCTCTGCCCCTCTGCTCCATACCTGGGTCTGTCTCCCTTCCCCATATGCAGGCACAAAGCTGCTGTCTCCTGGTGACCAGTGTAGAGTGTCCCAACCTAGTCCATGGAGAACACTAGAGACACAGGACAGGGCTGTCATTGCTGCAGGTCTCCTGGAAGTACTTTATGGACAGCAAAGGGATTAGAACATGGAGGCAGGTGCCAGGCACTATGGGGACCATTCAGAAGGATGCACCTTGCCTGATGGCTTAGGTCTCTGGCCTATGCGTCTCCCATGAAGAGCCAGCTAAATCTCAGACTCCCAGGGTCTTGAGTGGTCTGCTTAGTGTCCAACTCAAAGGCTCCCTGTAGCTCCCGAAGGGTCCTCCTGGACCCGGGTCACAGCCCAAGGTAGCCCACAGTGTCCACAGCACCCAGCCTGCTGGAAGATTCTCTGCCATACTGACTTGGATGACTTGGGATGGGTGGACTGGCTTGGTCTAGGTAGGTATAGGCTTCTCAGCTATGAGTGGGGACAAGAGCATTCCTAGAGGAGCAAAGGCAAGGCACATGGTGTGTGTGTGTGTGTGTGTGTGTGTGTGCGCGCGCGTGCGGGTGAGAGGGAGGGGATGAGGTGGGCATGCCAAGGTGGGCAATGTGCAGGCAGTGACGAGAGCTGATGGACAAGAGAGCCTGGACCAGTCACACAGTGGCCACTGCCCAGAACCAGCGTGGGTGCTGTCCGCGCACAGCTGCTAGGGCATGGGATATTGATGCTGTGGGGAGTTGGACCTTGTGGTGGAGGTACCTGCCTGTGTTGCAGCTCCAAGATGGACTCATGGTGCTGAGGCGGCTCCTAATCCTTGGCAGGGTGGTGCCCAGTTCCCAGCCCAGAGCCAAGCCTGAGCCTCAGTGGTGTCCACAGCACAACTGTGGAGTGGGTATGGAACCCACTGAGGCTCTTCTCTGGGAGCTCCCCCGGATCCATGGGAAGGTTGGCTCTACACTTGGCTGTGGCCACCCAGAGCTGTCCTTCAAGACGGGCCTGGCCGCCCTGGCTTCTGTAGCCTCCCCCAGGCTCAGCGCTGGACCGTCTCAGTTTGGGAATCAAGGTGTTGGTTGGCTGTGGCCTGCGGCCGGGAACGGTTTTTGTGGCCTCATCTGGCTGCAATGGAGCATAATTTCCCAGCCCTGCGGCTCCCTGCCACCCGTCCACAAGCTTGTCTCCCCAAGGCCACTCTTGTACCCCTGGCCAGCGGCCTGCAGGCTGCACTTCCCGATAACACCAGGCATATTCCAATGTATTAAACTTCCAGCAGCCGCCAGATTCAATTAATCTTATCTTTACAACTCCTAATTACAGGCACTAATTAAGTGGAAGGCACCGTGGACTGGGGATGCCGCATTCATCATTGCGGCCAGAGCTGGGAATTGGTTCCTTCCAGGCCTCGGGTGGCTTCCCTGAAGCCTGCTCCCCACCCCCACGGCTCCCAGAGTCACGGTGCTTTGAGTGTGATGATAAAAGACCTGGAGAAACGTCACCTCAGCTTGTCCAGACATAGGAATTCTGGAGTAACCTTGGAGCTGGGGGTGTCTGGGTTTTCTCAGACAGAGGGGCACCTGAGGGTTCCTTATTGCTCCCTCTGAAGATGCAGCTAAGGGCTGTGGCTGAGTCTCCCTCCCACCACCTTTGCGGAAACTCATCAGCTCTCGGCTGCTGTGGACTTCCTCTGCCTTGGCTCCTGTGTCCTCTTGTGTTTAAGCCTTGAGGGGTGCGAAGCCATGCCCCAGCCTTCCTACCCCACTCCAGCAGCTTCCCCGGTGTGACAGCCACATGTCTGAGACATGCCTGTTCCTGGTCTTGAAGTTTTCCAGTGTGGCTCGCTGCCTTTGGGTTTGGTGGTGACAGCCTGTCTGCTGTCTGTGGGTGTGGACTGCGCTGGCCAGAGGTCCTCGGCTCTGATGTGCCTCCCTTCTCTCATAGGTACGCCATCCCACCGGAACACGGCAAGCGCCTGGAGCGCCTGGCCATAGGTAGGTATCTGAGCCCCGGTGGGACAGGGACAAAGATGAGAAGGGGAGGTGGCCCATGCAGGTGAATCTCACTGTGTCTGCCTCCTGGTCACACGGCCAGCCTGCAGTGACCCTGGAGTGATGACAAAGCTTTGGGTGCAGAGGGCATTGGGAGTGCATGCAGTCTCACCAGTGACACGGCTCAGATGGGGCGCTATAAGCCCTGTCGGCAGCCCTGCTCAACCACAGGCCATGCCTGGTTTTAATACTGGGCTTAGATTGGTAGCCCAGGCTGGTGGAGAACTCTCCATCCTCCTGCAACCCTAGAATGCGCTGGAACAACAGTGTGTGCCGCCACACCCAGCTGTCCCTTTCTCACCGTGCCCTGATGCTCGGGACAGGGCCTAGGGCCTGGAGCATGCTGGGCAGGCACTGTGTTGCTGAGACACTTCCAGCCATGGTGTTTTCTTTAGTTGGCTTTGTTTTTTTGTTTTTGTTTTTGTTTTTGTTGATTTTGATTTCTGGTGTTTGGCTTTTCGAGATAGGGTTTCTCTGTGTAGCCCTGGCTGTCCTGGCACTCACTCTGTAGATCAGGCTAGCTGAACTCACAGAGATCCTCCTGCCTCTGCCTCCTGCCTCTGCCTCCTGAGTGCTGGGATTAAAGGTGTGTGCCACTATCCCACACCTTTTTGTTGGCTTTTTGTTGTCCAGGCTGGTCTTGAACTCACTTTGTAGTCCAGGCTAGCCTTGAACTCAGAATCCTGCCTCAGCCTCCCAAGAGCTGGAGTGAGTGACAGGCCCACGCCATCATGCCCGGCTTACTCGTTCCTTCATCAGGCATAAGTCTGTATGTGGGCACCTCAGGACACACACATTGAGAGGTGTGAGTCCTCACTCCTGAAAGGTCTGTCTGTCCTCTGTCATCCCCAGAGCAGCTCTGACATAGGCCTCATCTTCTGCTAGTCAGGGCTGTCAGGACTGGGAGGGACTGGGCACGTTGTACAGCCCCTCAGGAAGGCTAACCTGGGTCCTGTGGACCCATCTGCTGGAAGCGCACAGCTGCAGATGGAGCCCTCGACATCCCCTACGGCAGCGATCACAGGGTGGAATTGAGTGTGACCCCTAAGGTAACACTGGCCACTACCTCCCAGCCCCACTGTACCCAGGCATCACAGCCTTGGTGGCTGTGAACAGCCTAGATGGCGCCTCCACAGCTTAGAGTCCTAAGACCATAGGCACAGCAGGGTGTCCAGGGAGTTCTGCAACCCACCACACCAGAGGCCCCGCATGCCTGGCTCTCCGCCCTTCTTTCTAGTCTAGTGCCAACCGTACAGCATCTCCCATGTTCTCTGCCTCCCTCTGAGGGCTCATGAGGGTGCTGGGCCTAAGGTCACCTAGGATGCTCCCGACTCAGGGCCTTTCATTTGAGCCATCTGCAGAGTCTCTTCTGACCCTGAAGTGATGCCACAGGTCCCGGGGCTGTCCTGAGCGAGCAAATGTTCTTCACGCCAGCTCAGGACATGGGAACCAGCTCACAGTTGCTACCTGGCCCCTGCTGACAGTGACGGTGTCTCCTGTCTGCATGTGAGGTGGTTCAGTGAGCCAGGCTGTGGTGGTTCTGGGTCTGTTGCCTCCTCTAGAGACAGTGAGGCAAACCTCAGAGTGACGAATGGCCAGGATCTCAGGGTCCTCAGTCCACTCCAGTAGCCACATCCCCATTCCCAGGGCCAGCAGGGCATGTAGGTGGCAGCTTGCCTTCCCAGAAAGTGTGTTCAGAAGCCGGGGGAGAGGAGAGCCAGCTGCAGAATTTCAGTTCTGAGGCTCCAGAGTGGCTGCTTCAAACATCTGGCCTGCACGGCATGGTGGTGGTCACTTTTAATCCCAGTGCTCAGGAGGCAGAGGCAGGTGCATCTCTGTGAGTTCCAGGCCAGCCTGGACCACGTAGTGAGACCCTGCCTCCAAAAGAAGAGCAAAGAACCAGCAGGGTGGGGCAGCTGCCTGGAAGCAGAGGAGGACTGAACAGTCTGCCCAGAGGAGAGTGGGGGTGGGCACAGGACAGGGAGGCAGGGTGCATGGCACAGCAGGGTCTGCAGGAGGCCACATGCAGCTCCCTCACAGCTCTGGTCTCGACAGCCCTGAGACCTTTGGGCATGCGCCACTGTTGCCACCCACGGCAGAGCCAGGGGGAGTGGGCTCACGGTTAGCACAGAGATGAATAGCTGAGCCATAGATGGGCTTGCCGGGAGAGAGAGGCGCCCACGGGAGAGCACTAATGTGGGGGCGCTAATCACTTCAGATGCGAGCCTTTATTAGGGCCCTAATGAGAGCCACTTAAGCCATGCATTAAAAGGGGGACGTGCGGCTGGCGGCGGCAGCCATAATTTTAACCAAGGCACTTTTAGCACCAAGGAAAGAAAGATGGGGATTCAGCCCTCGTCCCCTCTGGAGCCTGCGCTTCCAGCTCAGCCTCCTGTCAGCAGCCTGGGCCTCCAGGCCCTACTCACCCTGCACCTGTGCATGTGTCTGTGAGCATGCTCACACACATGAGCATGTGCTCTTGAACAGAGACCGACCGGGGGCATGCTGGCCTGGAGGCTGGGACACATGTTTGTGTGGGTTTCTGGAAGGTTCCTCAGACAGGGTATAGGTCAGTTCTGCCCATAGCACACTAATGCAACCCTCCCTGTGTTGGGGTGGTAGCGTGCAGTGGTGTTCTAAGGATGCACAGGCCAGTGTGGTGAGCAGCTAGTCTAGGGACTCGCGTGCCCCACCTTACTTGTCCCGTGTTGCCCATTTTGGCTTCTGTAGAGCTGGTTCTGACAGGGTGTGGCCAAGCTCCAGCCTACCCTGGGCTTCTGAAGGGACCTTCCCTCCACAGTGGGAACTCTGCATTTCACCCCAAGGAGTCCAAGGCCAGGTTCCATGTTGTTGGGACCCTAGGATGTGGTTGAGCTTTGAGACAGCCGTCTTCTGCCTGGGGAAGCAAGGATCCCAGTGGGAACATAGGCTGTCCTTGTCCTGAGGTCCATTGTGTCCTGGGCCTCACTTTTTCCTGTGGACTACTGAGGTTCTGGGACCTGGAGGCCACTCACACACAGCTGCTATACCTGTGTTGCCCCTTGGTGACCTTTGTTTTACTGAGCCGCCGGTACCCTCCAAGGAGGTGCTAAATGCTGCAAGCTCACATGCTCACCCGTGTGGTTCTGGGATGCTGGCTCCCAAGTCTGTGTGCTCAGGTACCTAATGAACAGGGTTGCTCTCCTGAGAGCTTGTTGGAAAGGTGTCTGTTGGGCAGTCACATGAGTGGCAGTTGCTTCTGTCTTCCATGTGGCTGGGCAGTGATGTGCAGTGATCCACTCCACTGAGCCCAGGGCTTTGGTACTGGTCTAAGACATGTCTGAGATCCCAGCTCAGTGCCCGACACTAGGACGAGGCCAGCAATTCCCGCCCTCCATACTGACACTCATTCTGACACTGCTCTCCTCCACCCCAGGCTTCTTCCCTGGGAGCTCGCAGGGCTGCGATGCTTTCCTGAGGCACAAGATGACACTCATCTCGCCCATCATCCTGAAGAAGTATGGTATCCCCTTCAGCCGGGTACGTACAGGCCCCAGAGAAGGTTCTAGAATGGTGACCAACTGGTTTCAGTTCTTCTGCAGGAGACTGTGGGATTGACAGGTCTTTGCTGTCTCCAAACCATATAGAACCCTGAGTGCAGTTCCCTTACTGCCCAGGCCACATCTGCTGTTAGCAGTTCACAGCCAGCAGGGTGACTGGCCACAGAGTGAAGCTGTCCTGCTCAATGTTCCTGAGCATGAGACGGAGCCCACTCACTGTGCTGCTGCAGAGGCTGTGACAGAGGTCTGAGATGGGAGAGCCAGCCCTGTGACACCTCTATGGGGACAGGAGCCAATGGACTTCCTACTGTGGGCTGGCAAGTTTGCAGACCTAGGACCTCAGGTTTCTTCAGGCAACAGGGGCACCTACCAGTAGGGAAGGCGCCCAACTGGGTGTGTGTTGGCAGAGGGTACATGGCTGTGTGCCCTGGGGGCCAGGGAGGGAGAGGGCCCTCAGGACAGCTGCTTTTGAAGGTCTCTTTGAAGACCAGTTTGCCAGCCCAGGAGCGAGTTCTGTGATGAGACCCCCTTGCTGCATGCTCACACAGGGTGTCAGCATGCTGGAAATTGCTCCTGACATTTCAGTCAAGGCACCCGCCGCATCCACCATGCTCTTCCTGCTGGTGCAGCCTGGAGGCTGCTCCAGGCTCTGGCTCTGAGAAGCACAGATCTCACTGTTAGGTGGCAGCATTGTCACTTGTGGAAGTGAGAAGTGTCTGCAACCAGCTTGCAGGGAATTTTTGTTCTCCAGGCTGGTGCTTCATGCACAGGGACCCCTGTGGACAGAATGACTGCCTAGTCCTTCCCCACCGGGCAGCACCATGGATTACACACATAGTGCCCAGCCCAAGGCAGCCGGCTTGCCTGCAGACTCACAGAGGCTGCTGACACTGAGAGCCATGCTCCCATACTGCTGTGCTGGGTGTCTGGGGCCTGACCTGCCTCAAAGGCTGTGGGTAAAGGTCCTTGTCCAGCACCAGAAGGTAGTTGCCTTGGGATTGGACCTAAGGACAGAGCAATAGGCAAGAGATGAGTGTCCTCCGCACATGAGGCGCGGGTTCCCTCATCAGAATTCCTGTCACCCTTCAGACGAGCAGCTGCACACTGCGCTTGTGAGTCTGTAATGGGATTTACTTTTAGAAGGGAAAGCTGATCAATAGCCAGCTCGTTAATAATTAAGAGTGTGTATTTCTGTAATCTGCCATCGACTTCCTCATCTGTCCTGCCGAAGCGTCCCTAGCTTTCTCCCTGACTGGCGCCGGCCTTGGCCGCTGTGGCTCTGCCGCACAATTATCCAGCATCTAAAGCCTCCTAATTTATCCCTGGCTCTGTTGACAGCGCAGCTACAGGGACTCAGCAGCCTCTGGGACACAGTGGCTATGACAGGAGCCCAGTTCTGTCGCCCCTGAGCAACACTTTGTCGTGGCTGTGGTGTCAGCCCATGCCTGCATGCTTGCTGTTGGCCTCAGCATGCGTGGTGTGCTCTATCCCAGAAGGCCGAATGGGACAGCTCCCAGTGTGTGCGCGCCGTGATGGTGGACAGTGTGGAGAGGACCAGCAGAGAGCCAGGGTCACCACTGCTGTCTGAAGGGACATTTGTTAAGCCCTACACTCTCCTTCCCCTTGCCCGCTTAGAGCTCACGATGAAGTGGCTAAGATTCCCTGAGGAGCTATGGCTGCCAGGACCCAGGGACATACTTGTCACACCCCACCATCCTTCACTCTGCCATGAAGAGCTGTCACTTGGGCAGGAATTTTAAAACATAACTTAATGTAGCTGACTTCCCTTGATTGGTGCAATTAATTATTTGAAAAGAAAAATACTGGCAAATTCTCCAGGGCAGGCTGTGCTCCAGGCCATGTTAGCTTTGATTTTTTTTTTTTTTTTTGGCAAGTGGATGGTGTTGCAAGTCCCCCACCATAGTCTCCACTCTCTCCTCCCCAGAGTTGCCAAGAGGAATCCAACGGCGGGGACTTGGTGGCCTGTGGGGGACACACCCACACCTAGGGTGAGGGTTTGGAAGGGGTGTTAGAGTAGTAACCTTTGTGACTAGGAATGCTCAGAGAGAAGGCACCTTACACCTTCTCAGTGCGGTCCTTGTCACAGTAAGACACTGTGGCAGGCAGTGCCATCCAGCCGAGTCAGTATGAAGGCTCAGAAGCCCTGAGACAGTGAATATCCTGTGTGTTTGAGACAGGGTGACCAGGGTTGCAGAATGAGCCAAGCCCAGGGGCAGGGCCTCCTCAGTGCTCTGGAACTTTCTCCTTTGTTGGCACTTGTCAAGCTCAGAATCCCACACACCTGCGGTCTTCACGCCTTCCTGCCTGTGCAGTGGACAGTGAGGACCCTCTTCCTCCTGGAACTTCACGGATGAGGCTCTGCTCATCCTCTGAGGAATGTGTGTCCTCCTGTCACTCCTGTGCTGGGACACCGCCTGTCTCAGGGACTGAGGTTGGCATGTGTTCCAGAGTGTTCTCCAAGCTATGAGTACTGTCCCCAGAACCTGCCTCCTGGAGAGCCAGCCGTATGCATCAGTGATGTCATGCAGAGCGCCTGTGCGTGAGAGGACGCTGCTTGCATGTGTTCTCCGGCCTGGACTCATAGTGGGTGGTGAGGCTGTAGCAGTCAGTGGCCCAGTGCTACGTTCTAGTGGATGATGTCCCTTGGGCTGGGTGGGATGACGGCCATGGTGTCCATGGTGCAGAATGGTGAGCATGCTGTTTGCCCTGTGTCCTTTGGTGGCCAGGGCTAGAACCAGGTCTTTTCATGTAGCCTAGCCTGGTCTCAAACTGGTGACTCCTGCCTCAGCCGCCAACGACTGCAATGACTGACATGCTCCACCACACCAGCTTTGCTCCATGGTGCTTGTCTGAGACAGTGCCTCTCTGTAGACCAGACTAGCCTGAAACTCACAGAGACCCACTGCCTCTGAGTTCTCGGTTTAAAGTTGTGAACCACCATGTCCAGCTCGCTCTTTACAAAACGGTTTATGTATTTTGTGTGTATGAGTGCTGTGGGGTGCATGCTGATGTCTGAGGATACCCCGTGGAAGTCAGGTGTGATGTCTGAGGATACCCCATGGAAGTCAGGTGTGATGTCTGAGGATACCCCATGGAAGTCAGGTGTGATGTCTGAGGATACCCATGGAAGTCAGGTGTGATGTCTGAGGATACCCCATGGAAGTCAGGTGTGATGTCTGAGGATACCCATGGAAGTCAGGTGTGATGTCTCAGGCTACCCCATGGAAGTCAGGTGTGAGTGTGCAGCCTGGGGACTTGAACCCAGGTTGTCAGACCTGGCAGCAAATGCCTGTAGCTCTGAGTCATCTCGTCAGCCACACTCTTTAAGCCTGGCAGGGTCCCACAGGCTCCTGAGCCCTGTATCATTGCTGAACCCACAAGTTCATCAGTAGCCGTGGGCCACCCTCCACCCTCAAGCCAGCATCGTCCATAAGTTCTTACTCTCCCCTGTAGATCACACAGGAAGCCGGGGAGTTCATGATCACATTCCCCTATGGCTACCATGCGGGCTTCAACCATGGCTTCAACTGCGCTGAGTCCACCAACTTTGCCACGCTACGCTGGATCGACTATGGCAAAGTGGCCACACAGGTAGGTGCGACAGTCATCGTGGTTCAGAAAGCGGGTGGAGCAGCCCTACACTCATGTGGGTGTGCCCCAGCTGCTGGCAGTGTCCGTCCATCCTCCCTCCCTCCCTCCCCCTCCCTCCCCCCTCCCTCCCTCCCCCCCCCTCCCTCCCTCCCTCCCTCCCTCCCTTCCTTCTTTCCTTCCTCCCTTCCTGTTTTTCGAGACAGGGTTTCTCTATATAGTCCTGGAACTCACTCTGTAGACCGACCAGGCTGGCTTCTAATTCAGAGATCCGCCTGCCTCTGCCTCCCGAGTGCTGGGATTAAAGGCGTGCGCCACCACCGCCTGTCTTGGTTTTTCATCTCTTAGTGCTCTGCAGGGACTCCCTCTCTCTGGGTAGTGCTACTCTGGCAAGCTGGCCTTGGTTGTTGAGCCAAGTTGTTTATTAGTTTGTTTTGGTCTTTGAGACATCATTGTCTGGCCAGATCCTACTTCATCCTCCCTATTGGTGGGACCCCAGGGTGACCCCATGCCCAGGACTGGGCTGTCATTTAGCTTTTTATCTATGTTGACAACTTTTTCATTTGCATGTGAGTGCACATGTATTCCATTGTCCGTCGTCGTCGTCCTGTGTGAGGCAGGGTCTCCTGGCCATGGCTTCCGGCATGCTCCACTGCTCTCCCATCTCACTGGCATGCACTAGTACAACCAGCTTTATGTGGGCTCTGAGGGTGGGAATCAGGCCGTTGGCTGCTGTGCCCACTGGGCATTCCCCATCCTGCTTGGAGGCTGCCCTTCCTCTGCTTTGGGGGGCAGTTGTCTCCTTTCATGGCTGGGTTGAAGCCAGGGCCTGAGCTCTGGGCAGATGCTTGCTAAGGACATGGCATGGATCCGGTGGTCTGCTCCAGGGTTCCTGGAGCTTGTCTTCAGTCTTCATGAAGCACTGAGTCTGGGGCAGGTGGCATGACCCAGGATTGGGACCCGTGTCTGGTTTTGATTGATTAGACACCTTGCATGGCCAGGGCTGGTGGGATGGCGGCCAAGATCCCCTGCACCTGTGGTAGATTGAGCTGTGTTGGCGGGGCCAGTGCTTGCAGAGCTGTGTTGGCCGCAGTCATAACAGGAACTGCCCAGATAGTAAAAGTAATCCCAGGCTCAGCCATGTGTTCACAGACAAGCAGCATTTGGGGAGTGCTGTCCGCAATGGTGCCATGCTCACATTGTCAAGCAATGTAGCGTGAAATTAGGGAACAAGTGGCCCGAGGCACCACAGACCAGCCGGGGACAGGGCAGGGTGGCAAGCACGGCACCGTCCCAGGTGCCCCTGGCTGCCAGGGCCGCCCTTGCATGGGGGTGCACCAGTGAGGGGGACGCATGGCCAGCTGAAGGTGGACTCTTGAGCCACATGGTGGGGCCGGGGGCCAGGACTGCTGCTCCCCAGCCCATGTCAACATAGAGGCTATGAGGGGCGCGAAGCCATGCAAGACAGGACCGGGTCTGAGTCCCAAGGCACCTGGACAGGCAAATGCCTGCTCCTCCTGTCTCCCTCAGCGTTTTTCTCCAGTTCATCTGCTCCCACATGGCAGTCACAGCCTCCTCCCCACCCCTCAGCCTGCAAACACAGGCTGTGTCCTTTTTAACTTATCCCCATCTCCCGGGACCTCACCTGCCTCCATGTGCACAGCGACAGTAGGGAGCTGCAGGCAGGCTGCTTCCCTCTCTCCTGCTTAGTGGCAGGGTGGGACCACTTTCATTTTTAATGGCTGGAGGGTGTAGAGGCGCGTGGTAGGCCCTGAAGCTCCGCCTGTGTGTCCCCAAGGCACAGGAGAGTTGTTCACCCATTCACCCCTCCCTACTGTGCTGAGCCTGGTCCTTTCTGCAGCCTGCCCCTGCCCCCAGTCTCCCAGGAAGGCGCTTGCTGGCTGTGCTGGTGAGGCTTCAGCTCTGCCTGTGTGGCTCCCTTCTTAAGAGGGGCTCTGAGGGCCCTAACCCAGAGACCAGGCAGGGAGCTGTGCCGGCAGCTCTTTGACTCTGGCAGTGGGAGGAGTGCTCACACTCACTGGAGCTATAGGTAGCCTCTGGCAGGAACTGGACCGTTCTGGGGCCACCAAGGTCCCTGGGGGGGGGGGAACATTGTAGGGCCCCTCAGCAAGGGGCTTAGGCTTAGGAAAGGACCTCTGTGTCTGCTCCCCTCCAGCTGAGGCACACCAGGAAGTGTGGCTGTCAGAAAGAGGTGCTGAGGCAGATAGCAGGGCAGGGGAGCGCAGAGTGTGCGCACCTCTGCAAGCCATATGTAGGAGTAGGGAGGAACCCTCTGACCTGCAGCCTTGTGAAGTCCTCAACGATGTCATGCTTGATCACACAGAAGCCTCATGGAGTGGACTCCATGATGGGGACCATCCAGACTGGGGAACCCAAAGGTTGGAACATGGAAGTGGCCTGCCAAGGTTGAGGAGCGGACAGGGCTTCCTGACGGGATGATGGTGTGTTCCGAGGCTAGGCATGACAGAGTCCTGTAGGTGTCTGAATGTTCTAGAGTTGTTCGCTCAACATGGGCTGCTTCCGTGGCTGGAAGCCACACCCTAGGTGCCCCAGGAGACCTTCCAGTCTTAGCTCCAGTTGCTTCTCGGCAGATCCATGAGTCCCGCCACTCCTGTGAGGAGTGGGCGGACGCATGCAGGCTGTTCACAGGCTAAGCACAGCTATGTTCCCAAGTGAAGAATTTTCTGGATTGTGCACATGAGCTCAGACTTTGTAGGAGGACAGGGGAGAGGCCTGGTGTTGGGGGATCTAGGTCACCTGGGGCACAGGCCCCAGAGCCCTTGGGTCAGCTGCAGAGGGCCCTTTACAGAAGGCCGTCTCACAAGCCGTGCCTCCTGTGACACTTGGCCTTGTCCACTGTGGCTGTGGAACAGGTGCAGTACGGTCTCACAGACAGAAAAAGTAACGTACGTGCTCAGGAGCTACTACACAGCCATCAATGAGTTCTCCACTGAGTGTGTCCCCACTTTAGTGATGTAGAGAGGTGACCCAGTGATCTGACTTACAGAGCAGGTCATGGGCCATGAGCCTCACCTGCTTCTGTGTGGGACGGGGCGGGGCTCCTCATCTAAACTTCTAGAAACTGGCTCTGTGTGGAGCGATGGGGTCAGCTAAGAAGCTGCAGTAGCTGTGTCTACCTGAGTCCTCCTGTGGCTTTCCTTCTGTGGTCACAGCGGGTGGTTGGATGTGGCCTCTCCTGTGTGTGGCACCAGCTGTTGGCAGCAGAGGTTTTGTCGGTTTGGTTTTGAGGTGAGGGTTAAAAGTCAACCAGATGGCATAGCACGTGGCAGAGGCTTGCGCGGCACACACGAGGCCCGAGCTCTGTCCCCAGCACCACAGAAAGCAGGTGTGGTGGTGCACACCTGCCACCCAGCACTCAGGAAGTAGTGGCTGTCTTTGGTGACACAGTGAGTTTGAGGCCAGCCTAGGCTACATGAGAGGCGTATACCCATCAACACCCCACAGGCCTGTGTTGGATGTAGACCCCTCCAGGTCTGTTCTCCTGCCTTGACAGTATCTGTCCTTACAGGCAAGTTTCTGAGCTGTGCCTGGTGCTCACATGGAGTCCCAGCACCCAAGAAGCTAAGGCAGGGGAATTGCTGTGAGTTTGGTCACAGCCTGAGCTACATAGCATGACCCTCACTCAAGCAAAAATGAAAACAAAGCTGAGAATCCAGAAAGTTCAGCAGCCCTGCTGGGTCACTTTGCCTCCTGCATGGACAGCAAGGGCCTTGAATGAGCTTCGGCAGGACTGCCGGTGCCTGGTGGGGGTGGGGGAACGCCCCCCAAGTCCGCGCCATTTCCACGTGCTCCCCGTAGAGATGACCCATTTCTGGGTCTGTGAAGCCAGCACCCTTACAGAATGCTGACCCTGGACTGACAGACAAGAACAGAGAGGCCAGGCAACTTTGCCAGTGCTGCACAGCAGGCACCATGTGCAGCATGCCCTACAGGCTCCCAGATTATTCAGTAGACATGTGCAAGTGTGTGTGGGGGGGTGAGCCTCTGGGGGTGCTCCAGGTTAGTGCTCCCCTTCAGAGTCTTCAAGCCTGGTGACATGTGGGCCTGGGGCACAGTCTGCCTGTGCACATTGCCAGGACTGGAGCAGCCTCTCTATAGCTAGGTCAGGAGAGGAGGTCAAGGGTTCTCCAAGGAGGGGAGGCTGCTTGCACGGCCTTGCTCCTCCTTGCTCCTCTCTGGCTGCTACACCAGCCCTGTCCTTGTCACAGGCCACACACTGTGTGGGAAGCTCAGCCATGTCCTGCGCACTTCAGGGGAGCGGGCTCTTCAGCGGGAACTCACCGCAACACCAGGCTTCGCTGCAGTGAGACATGGGATGAGGCTGTGATCTGGCTGTGGCACACACTTAGTGGCTTCTGTCTCCTTCACGGTCCCCGTGGCTGGATGCCAGCTCTCCCAGGAATGCTTGGCACACCTGAGGGGGTAGACGTCAGAGTTGGGAGGTCCAAGTGTGTGGAGGTGGCTGTTTTAGAGCCGCGTCACCATGCCCTTGCGGTGGGCTGGTAGCAGCGGGCACTGGGTAGGGAGCACTGAGCTTAATGACCAGGTGAGAACCGACAGCCGTGCTCCCCTGCTGCAGTGACAATGTCTCCCATGCTGCACCATTAGCTGCAGCCACCCTGCCTCACTAACCCCTGATTTGTGCCGTGGCAGAGCTGTGTGCACAGGGCTGACTGCAGATTGCTTTGTGAGATGTGTTTCCCTCACTCCCTGTCACAGTCTCTATACCGTGCATCCCTGGCCATGTCTCTAAGCGCGTCCCCAGAAGGCCCTGTGTGGGACACAGCTGGCCTGTGTTGGCTGAGGAAGAATCTAGAAAGGTGGCCTAGTGTGGGCTCCTCAGAGTGCACATGGTCTTGGCATCCTCTGTGGAGTAGCCTGGCCTTGTTCCCATGTCAGAAAGCTCCCACAGCCCTGATGACCACAGTGATCCCAAGTGTCACACACTGGTCACAGAGGGGACTGCTGATAGACCCTTGACCCCGGCAGTGACTCCCCAGCAGAGTAGATCACGAGATCACGGACGCAGATCCTGGACACCCCCACGTTGTGTATCCTGGACATTGCCACCTTGTGCCTCAATTTCCCCATGAGTAAAGCGCTGGTGCCCATGTCAGGGGATGCTGGGAATGCTCTGGTGCCCGTGTCAGGGGATGCTGGGAATGCTCTGGGGTGCCTGTGTCAGGGGATGCTGGGAATGCTCTGGTGCCCGTGTCAGGGGATGCTGGGAATCTCTGGGGTGCCCCGGCATCTTTTGGCTGGGTCACACTGAGGTTTGCAGAAGGCAAGAGCTGAAGGGTCCAGCACGAAGCAGCGCAGGGAGAGTAGACAGGCCAGTGCTACCACTCCCCGCTCACTGTCTGTCCCCTGGTGCTCATGCCACCTAGACAAGTGGCCCCTGTGCCAAGAGGGGGGTGCGGTGGGGTGGGGCGCCACAGGAGGGGCATCGTGACTCCGGTATCTGCTCGGCACAGGTCCCACCAGGCAGCACTGTGCTGGCGCCTAATCGTCCTGTGCACAGGTCCCTGCGGCTCCCTGATGGACTGGATGTTGTTGCAGCACTTGTAATGACAGCAGAAATGGGCCAAGCCACAGTCAGAGCTCTGTGCTTAACCCTTAGTGGGCTGGAGCGCCTGGCCCTCAAATATAGGGCTCTGCAGAAGTATCTCTTCACAGTCACCGTGTCCGCCTTCCTCTGCAGGGCACTGGTGTGCAAGCCTGTCATCTCAACACTCAGGAGACTGAGGCAGGAAGGTTGCCCCAAGTTCAAGGCCATCCTGGGCTATATTATTTTTTAAAAGGTAATTCTGACCTGGGAAACCGAGGTGGCATTGAGAAAGGGTGCATATAACCACAGCCAGCTGATGTGGTGTCATGGTTTGGCAAAGTCTACCTTTAGGGACTGACAAACCAGGCCTGAGCCAGGCGTCCAGTCTCCCTCAGGTCAGCGGGGGTGGGCAGTGCCCCTGCTGCTGCCTCTGGTGGGCCCCTACCTTTTGCTGCTGGACCCCCAGGCCAGGAGTTCACCTGTTCACACTGGGACCTCCATCTCCAAACGAGTCCAGGCGCCCAGTGGAAGTGGGGGCCACTTGGCCTCGTTGCTTGCTTGAGGAGTTTGGGTTTGTTCTGAGTGTGGAGGCTGTGTTGGACAGGGACAGGATGCCTGTGGCCAGGGATCCCTAAGGTTGCGTTGTCTGAGGAAGGGATGCAGTGCAGACCTGGGCAGGAAGGTCGGGATCGTCACATCAGAACGTGTGCAGCCGCAAGTGACTGTGGTAATCAGCTGAGGACAGTTTTGCTGTGCCCTCAAGACTGGTGCTTTTTAGGGACACCACACCCACCCCTGGCAGGTGCCAGCCACCCGGCAGCAGGCTCAGTGTTCTGCCCTGGTTCCTGTGCCGTGACTGAGAGTTGTCCCCGCCACACTAGCGAGAGCAGGAGAGTCCCTGCAGTCACTTGCTATTTGGGTTGGTGGTTTTATTTCACCGCGTTGTGATCATCCCCTCTCCAGCTGCTGCCTCCCCAGCTCACTGTTGTATGATTGTGTTCTAGTGTAACCCAGTACCTCAAAACAAAATGGCCTCTGACTGGAGCTCAGAGACAACAGAGGATCCTGGGAGCTTAGGTGGCCTCTCTGCTCTACCCCAGCCCAGCTTTGAGTGAGGCGGTGGGAACCCCCAGGGAGCATGGCAGAACCTCCATGCCTGACAGAACTGGGGAGCCATGGGCTTGGAAGCCCTCAGTGGGGCAGGAGTGATTGTGTGTGCAGCCCACTACAGATCAGACACTTTCACACCCTCAGTTGTTGGAGATGCCTGGCGTGCAGGTGTAGTCCATTCACGGGACCGATCCTGGGCCCGGAGCATGGGGGGCAAGGCTCACCTAAGTGCAGAGCCCTGGTCCAGCCACACCCCAGTGTTTCACTCTCATGACTTGGGTGCCTGCAAAGACAAGTCTTCTTGGTGTCTCTAATGATGTCATTGGCCACAGGGACCTGCGGGGTGGACAAGGGGTCTCCTCCAGGGCTGTGTGGGACAGTGACACAAATGGGAAAAGTGAAAGTGACTGGGCAGGAGCAGGCAGGCCACATGCTTTGAGGAGTACCCAGTAATGAGGGCCACCCAGGGAAGCAAGGTGCCTTGTCAACACAGGCAGGGCGGGGGGGGGGGGCTCCTATGCAGCACATGCTGAAGGTGTCCGTGCCGGATGCGGGCACACTAAGCTCTGGACCATCACACGGCCTTGAGAGGTGCTGAGCATCACGCACAGGCTGTGCAGAGGCCACACCACTGCAGCAGGGTGCGGAGGTAGCTGCGGGATGCTACACAAAGACCGGCCGTGTGTGGGGACCTGGGTGCTGCGTGTCTCCCTAGAGTCTAGACGCGGAGGCTGGGTCAGGTGGCTGTCCCAGCTTGACTGCAGGTTTGCTTGCTGTCCGTCTCACGAGAAGCACAGGAAGGCATTCCTCAGGGTCTGCAGGGCCACCCCTGTGCCTTGAGTCCCCGGGGCCAGCTCATTGTCCACACTGCACATTCCAGTTCTTCTTTGCCCATGAGCTCTGCTGAGCCTCTTGGGCACCAAGCAGTGACAGGGTAGGCAGGAGACGAGGGAACACACAGCTCCCCAGTTGGCCATGAGTGACAGCTGTTCACTGCCCTCAGCTTAGGCCGTTTCTACAGGTCTGTGACAGGGGCCCTGCTTAGGACTCCAGTGCAACCTCAAGAGGGCACGAGGGAGCTTTCCCTCCCATCGTCGCATTCTGAGGCAAACTCAGCAGGCAGCTCGTCCAGATCGGTGGCTGGGAATGTCCCTGGCCTTCCCATGCCCAGCCCTCCTCCGAGAGGTCACCGGAGAAGAAAGCTTTCTCATTCTTGGGTGCGGAACACAGCAGCTGGGATGTGGCTCTAGTCAGTGCCATGGCTGCCACTGGTGCTGCTGCATCCAGAGCCACGGGAGACAAAGGCCCTGGGACTTAGGCCTGGCTCTGTGTGAGGCGCCTGTGAAGCCCACGGAGGGTCCTGAGGATGTGTGTCTGCTGGAATATGTCCTTCAGCCACTTGCAAGACTGTCCTGTGGTGGGGTGGCGTGCGGGGATGGTGTAAGTGAAGGCCTGCTCCAGATGACGTGAGGTGCCTGTCCCTCACATTCTAGAAGGTTCTTAGCAAACTTCTCAGAGCAGGGGCTCCTGGAATGCAGCTGTGGAGTGTGGCGTCACCCAGGACTTGGCGTCAGAGCTCTGGTTGCCAAGGCACAGGAGTGTAGGGTCAGGGTTCAGGAGCTGACTCTGGGCCCCCACAGCTGGTGTCAGGTGTCATCAGAGAGCTTGCTTATCCCCAGGAGGTAACCCCTTTCTGTCACCCAGTCTCAGGCTGGGCTCACTAGAAGGTCTATGCCTACCCCAGAATCCCAGGTGGCAGTACGGTGCCCAGGTGGCAGCTGCCCACCAAGGGGGGAAGCCTGGAATGCCCTGGTAAGTGAGCCTTAAGGTCACTTCTGTCCCAGGAGGTGATGGAGTCCTAGGCCCACCTTGCTCTAGAGTGGGTTGGGGTTGGTGGCCCACCCCTTCCCTTCCTTATAGCTTAGGATGACTGCTCTGTACCTCAGTGAGTGGGCTCCAGCCTGCAGGGGTGAAGTCAGACCCTCTACACAGATGGACCTCTCTGTCCACCAGTAGAGTGTCTCCACCATGGACAGCCATCTGCGATAAGCCACTGGGGCCACATGCAGAGCCCTGGAAGCTGCTTGGACCTCAGAGTGGGCCCTCCCTGTGGCTGGGCCTCAGGCCACCTTGCCACACTCCCCCAGGCTTCCGGGCATCTTCGCCCAGACCCAGATCCTTGCCTCCTTACATTTGCTTTTGACCCACACTCCTCAGATCTGCAGAGCCTACACGGGGTGTGTGAAGGCCAGTGTCCCTGCAAGGCCAGCCTGTTCTGACATCTCTGTCCTGGCTGCTGGTGCTGGCCATCGAGCTGGTGCTGGCCATCGAGCTGGTGCTGGCTGCGGCGGTGTCTGTGGAACCCGTGGGAGTGCTCAGGTGCTTTTGCTAATTACTGATGGCTAAGCGATGGCTGAGCCACTTGGCACAGGTCCCTTAATCCAAAGTTGATGGGGGCTTGGGGAGGCCAGGCCCAGGAATGTACAACCCGGGCGCCATCTGCGGACGTCACTGACCAGCCAAGTCCCTGCACAGCCACTGTCCAGCACATTCCCATTAAGCAAGTTGAGTTTGCTGGGAATCGTTCAGCCATAAATTCTCTGTCTTGCTCAGTATGCTGGGCCCAGACAGATCCCAACCCTCCCCTCCACCACAGACACAGGAGGGGCACGAGCAATGCCCTGGTACCAGGCCCAGTGTTCCTGTCGGCCGCAGGGTGCCCAGATGGCCATAGCTGCTGTGGACTGGGGACAGAAAGAGCCCTGTCTTCAGTGTCACAGCCTGTAGTCCCGTCAGGAGAAGGCGGGAGTGTGTCAGCTACCCTGTCAGAGCCCTGCGCTGGCCCAGCCAGGGTGGAGACTGGCTCGGAAGTGTTGAGCCTGCAGAGTGAGCACAAGGCCCAGGCTGCTCCCCATCTCTGTCTGGATCTGTGCAAGCCCTGCCTTACATCTTCTAGGCCCTTCTGGAAGGCCTGGCCCTGGGTGGTTGGCCTGTAAGACCATGTGGCCCTCTGGAAATGGCCTGTGTCCACCTTTCTTCCCCTCACGTCTTGCTGGGCAAGACTGACGGGCTTCCCCCTCGGGTCTCTCGGCCTGGCCTGCCTGTGGTGAGGGCAGGGAAGGTGCTGGGCTAGCATTCCCTTCCTCACACCAGCTGTCTGCCGCGTGGGAGCCAGGAGCCTTGCATGAGACTCAGCGCCTGTGTATGTGTCCCTACAGTGCACATGTCGCAAGGACATGGTCAAGATCTCCATGGACGTGTTTGTGCGCATCCTGCAACCCGAGCGCTATGAGCAGTGGAAGCAGGGCCGCGACCTCACTGTGCTGGACCACACTCGACCCACGGCCCTGAGCAGCCCCGAGCTGAGCTCCTGGAGCGCCTCCCGGGCCTCACTGAAGGCCAAGCTCTTGCGCAGGTGAGTGACAGCCTCCTGGTGCCCTTTCCACTTCTATGCCAGGAGCTGTCTGGGCACCCAGATCCCTGGTAACATAGTCTCGGTACCCCTGCAGCGAGGTACCAAGAGCTGGCAGGTTCCCTGCAAACATTCATGTGGCTGAAAGTCCACACCAGATGTCATGCTCTTCAGGGTGACTGGACCCTCCTGGCCTGCTCCTTAACACTAGTGTGGCCACTCGCGGTCACCTCTGACTGGGGACCGGGACAGGCCTGCTACATCCTGGAGCGCTGGTCTCTAGCACTGGCAGTGCAGGTGGCTGAGCTGAGGCGAGGAGGAGCCTGACCCCGCTGTCTGAGATGGAAGACTGCACAGCTGGCCCAGTCCACTCCAGGGTGCCATCTCCCTCCTAGTCCTAGCAGCCCTTCATGGGTTTGAGCTTCTGATAGACCGACGACAGCCCTCAGAGCTGAGCTGGGGCCACAGCCGTGGGACTGCACAGAACTCAGCCTACTGCCTGCGAGGGCCAGGAAGGTTCAAGAACTCTGCACCTGACAGGCCAGTCTGTGGCTGCCACTCAGGAGCCACCACGGTTGACAAGACTTTACATATGAACAAAACTGCTCCCTTGACCTGTGGACACCCCACTAGGATCCCGATGGCTTCCACATGCTACAGGATCCTGCACCCTGCATTGGCTGTGTTTAGCCCTGGGCATGGGGTTCTGCTCTGCAGCCAGGCCGTGGGGACTGTGTCTGGGGTGGTCACCTGGGGCCTTCCCTCACTATGTCCTCTTCGACACTGCAGTGTGTGCACTAGTCTCACCCACCCCCTCCCTGCTCTCTGTCCTCCTCTCGGAGAGCAGCCTGTGGTTTTAGAACCTTCTGCAGAGGATTCTGGCAGCACCTAGCAGTCAGGTGACAGCCTGTGGAGGGGCCCTGAGTGTACCTGCACGGTTTGGGGATGGTTTCCTGATGGTTGGTTCTCAGTGTCTGGGCTTATGGGTCAGCTGATCAGATGACCAGTAAACAGATACCACATTCCAGAACCATAGTGACACCAGAGCCATCCAAGGATGGAACTCTGAGGCCAGAAGAAGTGGCCCATGGGACATGGAACTCCCCCCTCACGCCTCCAGCCATCCTCTCACAGGTTTCCTCCCCCGAGCGCTATCATGTCCTTTCTAGAAGCCGTGCTAACGCGGCAGTGGCTGAGTAGCAGATGAACCCCACTGCCAAGGACACAGTCCCCTCTAAAGCTGCTAAAACAAGGGCAGAGCTGTTTGCTTCTTCTGAAGGTCCTGGCCTCTATTGTGCTCCCACGGTCCACAGCGTGTTGTGCGTCGTCCTCATGCTTGGCCCCCTTGGGGAAACTGAGGCAGTCAAGGGTTCAGAGTGGGGCCAGAGCACCTGTCTCCCTGACACACCAGAGCCTGAAGCTGCTGTTGTTGTCAGGTGCTGAGAACAGTCCTGACCTGGCCTCTGTGCAAAGCCTCAGTCACAGCCCTGGCCATCAGACAGCCCCACTGGCCATCAGACAGCCCCACTGGCCATCAGACAGCCCCACTGGACATCAGACAGCCCCACTGGACATCAGACAGCCCCACTGGACATCAGACAGCCCCACTGGACATCAGACAGCCCCACTGGACATCAGACAGCCCCACTGGACATCAGACAGCCCCACTGGACATCAGACAGCCCCACTGGACATCAGACAGCCCCACTGGACATCAGACAGCCCCACTGGCCCCTTGCTGGGAGCCACTACTAGAGCGGCAGTGGTGGCTTAGCCTCCTCACTAGATGAGTGTCCTCTTCTGTGCCCCTGTATGTTTGCACAGAGCTCCCTCCACGCAGGCCTAAGCTCAGGCTGCCTGTGCCCACCCTGTCCCCAATCCTAGTCTCCTGTCTCCGCAGCAGCTTCTCAGGTGGGCTGACTCCAGGGAGCAGTGCCACAGTCCTCGGCCAACCTGGCATGCTTTGGATGTGTGGGGGTTGGGACGTGTTGGTGCTCCATAGTGCCACACTCCAACCTGTGACCCCCAACCCATGACCCCAGAATTGACCTCATTTTGCCAGGGGATATCTTAAATACTCCACCTTAGTGGCAAGAATGGAGCAAACTGAGGGAGCTAGTGCCTGCGGGCAGGTGGTGAGCTGGCTGCTTTGTGGACACAGGTCCCATGGATCTGCTGCAGCTGCCGTCTTCTCGGGGCCATGCCTCAGCGAAGGCTGTAGGCTTGCTGGTCTCAAGTCCCAGGGCACCTGCTTTCATCTCGGACGAGTCTGTGTCATTCACATGCCAACACCTGACTTCTGAAGAGTCGACATGATTCTGACCTGCCGGGTGTGGGCGAGGGCAGGACTGTAGGAGCAGTTGTGTGGCTGAGGCCCTGAGGGGCAGCAGGAGGCCTTTCAGAGCAGGCTAGACGGGCCGGGACTTTAGGGATTCCAGGCTGGAGCCTTGTTGCCTTGCATAGACCAGTAGGAGCCCTGGTGTGGAGGGAGGAGTCAAAGCTTTTTCTTCCTGAGCCCCATAGCCAGGCCTATCCTCTGGGACATGCCTCTCACCTCAGAGCAGAGGACTGGCATCTTCAGTGCAGGACCCGCCTGGCGGCTTTGATCCTAACAATGGTCCCTGTGGAGCCTCCCCCCTCCTCCTCCACCTGGCATCTCCCTCGTCAGCAAGCCCCTCACCCACCTCCAGAGCATCCGTAATGCCAGGTCAAAAAAGGGCTAGAGGCCAGGATGGGACCCATACGGACTTCAAGGCCATCGATCCCGAAGCCACTGCCGCATGTGGTAGAAGAGCAGGGACAGGAAAAGCCAGCGCAGCTGCCCAGGATGCTACAGGGAAATGCAGAGCACCACGCAGCAGCAGACAGAGGGTGCTAGAAGCCAGCCGAGCAGGGTAGAGCAGTCCTGCAGACACGTAGCAGTGGCTCTGCCGTGCGGAGTGACGATCACCACAATGTGGAGCACACCCACGGCTCCCTCACGTGGGTTCAGCAGGCTGTCCCCAGAGCTTCCAGAGAAAACCTGGCATCTGGCATCAGGCTAAAGACTGTGGTCCCCTCCCAAGATCCCCTCCCAGGGTCCTCCTAACCCCCCCCCCAAACTACTCCCATCCTGACTGGGCACAGGGAGGAAAGACAGCTTGAGACCCACAGCTCCACAACTCACTTCCTTTCTGAGAAAGCTACTGCAGGGTGCTCACCAGCCCAGCACAAGTGTAAGCCCCGAGAGCTGCAGGACTACAGAAGGCTCACCTTGCCAGAGGCATAGTGACGTGCGCCATCTGGAGCAGGGACAGGTGCTAGGGTCATCACTGTGGAGCTGGAGGCAAGCTGCAGACTTTAGGTGGGGCTGGGACACCTGCAGATGCCAAAAGGAACTGGTCATCCAGTAGAAGAGGCCCCGCCCGGCTCAGGCTGCCTGAAGAGAAGCTGTTGCAGAAGAATGGCCACGCCCATGTGTGTCAGGCCGGGGAGGGGGGCGCTGGTGGAGAGGATATAGGTCAGGCCTTGCCCCTGGGAGAGGCATCAGTGTGGGGTGTGACAGTTGGCACAAGCCTTGGTCCCGGCTTGTTTTCCTAATACAGCATGGCTATTCTTTGGCACACAATGGCCCTCCCTGCTCTGGATGGTCACAGCTTCTGAGTCCCTGATTTTCTGGTGTGGCGCACAGGTGTGCTAAGGTCCCATTTCCTGAACTGTGGGAGCCATGCAGACTGCTGTGCTCAGTTGTAAATAGGGTGGTGTGAGGTCCAGGGTGTCCCAGTCAGCTGTGCAAGGGCCTGGCAGACTCTGGGGTGACCTCCAGGACCAGCTCACAGTGGGGTCAGGGCAGTGACTGGATAGGGCCACTCAGGAAGCCGTGGCCCAGTGAGTTGGTGGCAGGCTGTGAGCGCTGTCTGGAGCTGGGAGCCACTAGGACCAGCCCTCGGCCCCGGGGGCAACCGTTAGAGTCTGAGCCACCACACTTCTGTCCCGACTCGGTGTTTCCAAGACAGCGCATTGCTGGGGCTGCCCACCCAGAGCAGAAGGGGTGGGGCGTCCCTGGACCCAAGGTCCCGTGTCCCCGACCCCCCTCTCTCCCCTGTGAGTGCCCGCTCCCCTCACTCCTGCCTGTCCCCGGCCTGTCCTGCAGTCACCGCATATGCACACCTTGCCTCTGCCTGCATCGTCCTCGGAATGCCACCCGCTTGCCTGCTGGTCATCTTGTGGGGCTTGCACATTCATTGGGGTCCTGCCCTGGTCGAGAATATTTCAGCCACAGGAGTGAGGGAGAGGAGGGCAGGCCACAGTCAGAACCACAGAGGCCACCACCCAGAGCCAGGAATTGAGAGCATTCCCAGCTCTCTGGGCTAATGAGGGCCTGTGATGGGTGAGGGATACTGGACAGGTCCCCAGGGAGACAGAGCTGCAGGAAGCCGTTCCCCCTTGGTAGGCTAAGCAGCTTTAGGTGCTGGCGGGGGGGTCCTGCCTCTGCCCCTGTTGCACATGCTCACTCCATCCCCTCATTCAGCAAGGCTGGTTTGTGGCACCAGGGCCCACCCCGGCCGTCATCAGGAGGGTGGCACGTTCCTGTGCTCAGGCTGGGCGTGGGCCTAAGAGCCCCGTGTGGAGGGTTGTAGAGAGAGCCGTGGAGCCGAGGAAAACGCTGAAATTTACATTCTAGACAAATTAGTGTGAAGGAGAGCAGACCCTGGAGAAAGGCTGAGGAGGACAGGAGGCGGGAGCCCAGCAGGAGGCCAGGGCCCGCGTAAGTGACCTCCCACATCCAGTGTCCCGTGCATCCCGTGCCTCCATCACTCGCTTCACCCCAGCCCTGCTCCTCCCCGCCCTCCCCCCTGCTCCTCCCCGCCCTCCTCCCTGTGCTGCCTCAGTGTCCTACGTTTCCCCTCCTGTCTGACCAGTGCCCTCCCCCCAGGTCGCACCGGAGGCGGAGCCAGCCTAAGAAGTCCAAGCCTGAAGACTCCAAGTCTCCTGGGGAGGCGGCCGTCAGAGTGGCTGGTCTGGACGAGGCTGGGGGCTGTTCCCGGGAGGATGCCACACCTGAGGACGAGGAGGAGGAGGAGGAGCTGTCGCCCTCACAGGGCCACGAGGCTGAGGGCGTGGAAGGTCAGTGCCGGGTGTCTTCAGCATATGTGCGGCTTTGCTATCCCGCTCCTGCTGGCCTGGACACACCATGGCCCAGAGTGGTGACAGGGCTATGCGGGCGCCTGTGACATGGGGACTTTGAGCTGCAATCTGGCACTGAGTGCCCCAGCCCTCCTGCCCCGCACACTGGGTGTCTCATTCCTACCGCTGGCTTCTACTCAGTTGCAGCCTTGCCCCGAGGTAGGGAGGGACCTCCCTGTGGCCTGTGAGGCGCGTGAGCAGGGATGAGAGGCCAGGGACCGGCGGGCATCAACACAGCATCTCAGCTTCCCACCGGCTGCTCGGGAGAGTTACAGAGACCTGTCCACAGCAGACCATGACGTGGTCTTCCAGCCCAGAAAGGCCAAACGAGGCAAAGAGGGTGGCCGCAGTGTAGTGTGACCACAGACAGAGTCACCCATGGAGCTGAGGGCAGGAGCTGGTGGCCAGAGACTCAGGACCTTTAGGCACTGCGGATGAGTGAGGCCGCTGGTGGACAGTAGCTCCCACCCAGCCAGTAAGAACTAGTCAGAATATCTACACAGCAAATGAAGGTTGTCAAGAAGACACTGACGGCCACAGATGCTCCAAGCTAGACACCTGAGCATGGTTGGGGTGAGTGGTAGGGTGCTTTCTGGCATGCGTAAGGCCCTGTGCTCTGACCCGCACTGAGTGCTGACAGTAGCAAGCTATTGCAGAAGCAGGAGATTCCAGGAGGCTGCATGTGTGGAGGCCTGTGACATGCCTGTGACATCCCTATGACATGCCTGCGCCCTTCTGGGTTGTCTGGTTGTCATGGTCACATGTGGATCTGCAGGAGCTGAGGGCTGGAATGATGCCAACAGCCACAAACACACACAAGCTGCAGTACAGTGTGCCTACTGACTCTCTGGACCCAAGGTCCCGTGTCCCCGACCCCCCTCTCTCCCCTGTGAGTGCCCGCCCCCTCACTCCTGCCTGTCCCCGGCCTGTCCTGCAGTCACCGCATATGCACACCTTGCCTCTGCCTGCATCGTCCTCGGAATGCCACCCGCTTGCCTGCTGCTCATCTTGAGGGGCTTGCACATTCATTGGGGTCCTGCCCTGGCCTGTGGCTGTCACCGGCTCCCTGCTCCCACCTTGCACACTGGCGTATGAGCTGTAGCCATGCAACTGGTTACTGGGGACTTCGTGCCTTAAAGTACGATTCTGTTCCCTGTGGATCTGGAGTCAGGTGCCCCCCTCCCGAGTATGCCCCCCTCGACTCGCCTAGCTTCCCCTAGTCTCTTTGCTTCTCATCCTGCTTCCTGAGGAGCCTGTGGTGGCCTCAGAGTCCTCCTGCTGTGGAGGTAACATGGCCCCAGGCCCCAGGCCAGGGCGTGGCTGTCCTTGGATGCTTTTGCTGATGTAAGGGTTCTCCTTGACCATAAGCCATCGTGAAATGGAAGCAGTGTCTATCCTGTGGCAGGGGACATTTTACTGTGGAACACGTGAATGATGGGCAGCATGTCTGACTGGGCCTAAAGTCTTGTTCCTCAGAGAGCAGAAAGAGGAACCGCTAGGCTGCAGGGAGGCTAGAGGAGATGGAGGTGACTGGGTCTCTGAGGCAGCCCAGTAGTCAGTGGGGTGGCCACAAGAGACACCAGGCCATGGCCACATAGCTCAGCCTGTCAGCTGTGGCTGTCTAGGCACAGTCTAGGCTGCCTCTGCTGTAGTGAGCAGGCATTTCCTACCTGGAATTCTGCCGGATCATTCCAACAGAGACTGGAGCCACCAAGGACAGTGACAGGCAGACAGGCATGGCATGTCGCCTGCTGGAAAGGTGCCACCGCTTCCCAAGTGGCCCTCAGCCGGAGCCCTGTGCATCATGGGCGTCCCCCATGACACTTACCCGTAAGTTCCAAGTCTGAAGATGGGCACCCATGTGGACCTCTGGGCCACGTCTCCTGGGCTGAGGGATCAAAGTCCACATGCTGTGACTGACATTTGGCCAGAGTGGGGCCCGAGATGTGTCCAGGAGTGGTGGGTCCCGTGACCTCGCCCTGGGGTGTGGGGGGGTGACTGACACAGGTGGCCTGCTCCAGAGGCCTCACTCCAGTGCAGAGGGACAGATGCTTCCTTCCCTTCCTCGCCCATCAGCAGCCTGGCAGGTGCCCAGTTCCACATCTGGGTACAGCTGTTATCCACGAGCCGCTCAGCCCAGGGCTCCTAACCCATGCGAGGCACCAGGGGCTCCAGGGCACACAGTGCCGGGTAGGGCTCCCTGGGGAACATGGTACAAGTCACCAAGCCCTGATCATTCTGGCCCTGTCACCTGTTCCTGGTTAAGTAATATTCTGTACAGTCATTGTGGCACCCAACTAAAGTACCACCAAAGATGCATGCCGTTGACCCACTTGTTCATGTCCCTGTCAGGAACCGTCTCCAACACTCACCCCAGAGGCCGCCATACGTGAGGTCCCCAGACCCATCTGTTGCTGGTCCCTCTGTGTTGTAAAAGTCTGTTCCTCCCCACACCTGTGCTAGCCTGGAAGGAGCCTGTGGCTTGGGACAACTGAGTGTCTTCACAGTGACTTCCTGAGAGCCCAGGCTCCCCCTTCTAGACCTGATTCCTCCAGAAGGTTCCTTCCTTCCTTCATTTTTTTTTTGAGACAGGATATCATGAACCCTGCCTTGTGCCCGCCCCCACATACCCCAAGTGCTGGGATGAATGCTTGCTGCTCCACACCAGCTCAGGAATCTAAGTGTAGCAGCCCAGTACCGAGCACTTTTGGAGGTTGAACTTGCTCAAGCGCTTCTGTCTCCTGCTCCCATCTGTTTCACTTGGTTCTGAATGATGCCTTCTCTTCTCAGAGGATGGCAGAGGCAAACCACGGCCAACCAAGGCCCGGAGCAAGAAGAAGGCCCCCAGCCCCCTGTCACCTCCGTTGCCGCCCACCTTGCCAGCTCTGTTACCAACAGAGGAGGTCCTGAGGCCGCCACCCCCACCCAAGTCTCCGGTGCCAGCCATGGGCCCCGTGGCTGCAGAGGGGGGTCCCCCACCAGCACCCCTCAATGTGGTGCCTCCTGGGGCACCAGGTGAGGAAGCAGAGGTGCGGCCGCGGCCCATCATCCCGATGCTATATGTGCTTCCCCGCACCAACACCGCTGAGGGGGACAGGGAGCGCACGACCCACCCGCAGCTGGCATCCATGGAGCTGGGACTGCAAGAGGAAGGCCAGGCCCGAGCCGGGGATGCACAGGTGGTGATTGATGATCTGAGGTTCTGCCCACACAGCTGGGTGGCAGCTGGAGTCCGTGTGTTGTGGGTGACGGTGCATGTGAGCACACGTGTACATGCTGTGAGTGACTGCATGTGAGCACACGTGTACATGCTGTGAGTGACTGCATGTGAGCACACGTGTACATGCTGTGAGTGACTGCATGTGAGCACACATGTATATGCCGTGAGTGACTGGATGTGAGCACACGTGTGCGTGTTGTGGGTGACCTTGTCCATCACTCACAGTGCTGTGTGTTTTAGGCACCATCCTCCTTCTCTAAGCTGAAGGTGGAAATCAAAAAAAGCCGGCGTCACCCCTTGGGTCGGCCACCCACACGGTCCCCGCTGTCTGTGGTCAAACAGGAGGCTTCGAGCGACGAAGGTAAGCAGGGCCCGCGGCTGCTCTGCTGCTTCCCCCCCCGCACGGAGCCCAGGCCGGCCCCTCCCACAGGTGCCAGTGTGCGCCCTGCAGCCCCCCCACCACTGGAAGGGAGGCGCAGCCCAGAGTTCTCTGCCCCTTCCCATCGCAGACGCGGCTCCACACGCCCATACTTTTAACCACCCAGTTCCTTGCTGCCTACGGGCCTCCGCCACGCGCACTCCCAACCAGCCGTTTGCCAGGGCCTAGTGCCCCCTTGTCATGTGATCAGCAACTCTTCACCCCAAGACCTCACCACAGGAATGACTCCCAGGTTCTTGCCTCCCAGCTGAGCTCCCTAGAAGGCACTCTGGGGAGTTCCCCAGCTCCATGCCCCAAGTGTCTCTTGGAAGGTGGCACAGCTAGAACCCAGGACAGTCCTGGTCTCTGGTTCCCGTAGGCTCGTGTGTGGCTTCCCCAAGCTGGGCAGACTGTACCAGGCAGTGTCCAGGCTCCTTGGGGGGCATTCTCAGGGCTCCAAGGAGTGAGGTGATACGGTGGGGTGGGCTCTGGCCGACAGTCCCCACTTCCGCTGCCACACGGGGCCAGCCTTCAGCAGACTTGTGGCTGAGGCTCCCGGGCAGGTAGGCAGCGCTGTGCCCAGCTTTGCAGACACATCACAAAGGATGTGTCTGAGGGTGGCATGTGTGGTGTCCAGGCCTTAGGTTAGGCTCTGGGGAGACCATGGAGGGAAGGCAGCCCCTCCCCCTGCTAGGAATGCAGACCACATGTACCAGCCAGGGCCGTGCAGACGAGAGCACCAGGGGGACGTGCCGCCCTGGGCCTTGTCTTCCAACTCAAGCCCTTCCGTCTCTCACAGAAGCCTTCCCGTTCTCAGGAGAGGACGATGTGAGTGACCCCGAGGCCTTGAAGTCCCTGCTGTCACTGCAGTGGAAGAACAAGGCCGCCAGCTTCCAGGCTGAGAGGAAGTTCAATGCCGCAGCTGCCCTCAACGAGCCCTACTGCGCCATCTGTGTTCTCTTCTACCCCTACAGCCAGGTGAGTGCCTGCTCGTCCTCCCCGCCCCGATGCCGCAGCTGTCTCCCCCATGCCATTCAGTCCCCGGGCAGCTGCACACCCCAGACTCAGGATAGGCGGGAGGGAGCTGCAGCCTGGCCTCTGGTCCTGAGCTGATACGGGGTCTTCTGTCACCTGCTGATGGCTGTACCTCTATAGTCAGTACAGACAGAGCGAGAGGTCCCGGCCACTCCGGGGGACCTTGCTGTCCAGCCACCCTCCAAAAGTGGCCAGAGAACACGGCCGCTGGTCCCTGAGATGTGCTTTACTTCGAGTGGGGAGAACACAGAGCCGCTGCCAGCCAACTCCTACGTCGGCGAGGATGGAACCAGCCCACTCATTTCCTGTGCCCACTGCTGCCTGCAGGTCCATGCCAGTGAGTGTTCCACAGCCATCTGGGTGTGAGAGGCTCTGGGGACAGGAGGGTACTTTCTGGACACAATGCATTTTGAGTTTGGGGGGGGATAACATCCAGGGTGTACAGGTGTGGGGGCTGCAGGTATGGGGAGCCGCAAGTGTGAGGGGCTGCAGGTGTGAGGGGCTGCAGGTGTGAGGGGCTGCAGGTATGAGGGGCTGCAGGTGTGAGGGGCTGCAGGTGTGGGGAGCTGCAGGTGTGAGGGGCTGCAGGTGTGGGGGCTGCAGGTGTGGGGAGCTGCAGGTGTGGGGGCTGCAGGTGTGGGGAGCTGCAGGTGTGGGGGCTGCAGGTGTGGGGAGCTGCAGGTGTGGGGGCTGCAGGTGTGGGGAGCTGCAGGTGTGGGGGGCTGCAGGTGTAGGGGCTGCAGGTGTGGGGGCTGCAGGTGTGGGGGCTGCAGGTGTGGGGGCTGCAGGTGTGGGGGGCTGCAGGTGTGGGGGCTGCAGGTGTGAGGGGCTGCAGGTGTGAGGGGCTGCAGGTGTGGGTGCTGCAGGTGTGAGGGGCTGCAGGTGTGGGGTGCTGCAGGTGTGAGGGGCTGCAGGTGTTCCAGGTGTCAGATTTGGTCTGGTCCCATCACTCCCCTGTCTTCCAGGTTGCTATGGTGTCCGGCCTGAGCTGGCCAAGGAGGGCTGGACATGCTCCCGGTGTGCGGCCCATGCCTGGACTGCGGTAACTCACCTGGTGCTGGGTGGCGCCCAAAGCCTAGGCCTCCCTGGGCGAGTGTCCTGATCTTAGCTGTGCTGAGGCTGGGGCCTGACACTCATTATCCCGGGGGTGGGGGTGGTGCGCAGTGGAGGTAACTATCTCACCGTGTTGATCTGTTCCTCAGGAATGCTGTTTGTGCAACCTCCGGGGAGGAGCACTGCAGACCACCACAGAGCACAGGTGTGTGCCCTGTCACTGTCCTGTCTCCCTGCTCAGCTGCCCTGGAGGTTTGAGAGAGAGATGGGGAGTCCACCATTAGGGGAGCAGTGTCCTGAATGCCCATAGTCCTCACCTAGCTCCTGCTGGGGACTGCCTGGAGCCATCAGCAGTGCACTTGTGACCTGCCCTTACCCCTCAGGTGGATTCATGTGATCTGCGCCATTGCAGTCCCCGAGGTACGGTTCCTCAATGTGATTGAGCGCAACCCCGTGGACGTCAGTGCCATCCCCGAGCAGCGGTGGAAGCTGGTAGGTCCCCAGGCTGCGGCCACCAGCCTTATTTCTGGGGTGGACCAAGAACCCTGGGAAGATAGCCCCAGCCTGGCCTAGGACATTTTGTTTCTCCAAACCCATAACCCTGGGCTTGGGGGGGGGGGGTTCTGTGCAGTGCAGGGGACACAGTGGTGAGTCCCCAGTTGCACCAGGCAGCCCCTGGCCAAGTGTCCCAGCTCTCAGGCTTCCCTAGAGACACTCCAGGTACTGTTCGGGCCTGAGCTCAGTGTGCTCGCCCTGCGTGAGAGCCGCCCCTCCAGGCCTTCCCCGCTGCCCGACCTGCCCTCCGTGGTGCTTGCTTTCTACGATGTGGAGAAGAGAGGCATTGTCCTATGCTGCGACTCCCAACCTCCCTCACGGTGACTCACCAAGCTTCAACCTCGTCCCTGTGTCACAGACACAGTCGTGTGTCCTGTATGTGCACACGTGTGGTTGACGGGTCCACCTTGAGTGTCGGTCCTTGCCCTGGATCCTGCTTGAGTCTTCCATGTGTGTGCCCAGCTTCCTGAGTGGTCAGCTTCCACAGGTCCCCAGCTCCGACTCCCATCAGGCCATAGCAGCCCTGGGGTTTAGACATGCTGCTTCTGGCTTTGCGTGGGTTCTGATGACGCATACAGATGACGTCCTGTATGTTGGACAAGTGCTTTCCCACTGGGCCATCTCTTCAGCCTTCTTCCTTCCTTGTCGTGGCTGAGTGGCCAGGCTCACTCACCTTCCTGACCCTGCATCTTGGCGCACTGCGATTCTCATGATCTTGGCAGAGGCAGATGCAGAATACAGTCCTTTTGGTTTTTTTTTTTTAGAGACAGGGTTTCTCTGTGGCTTTGGAGGCTGTCCTGGAACTAGCTCTTGTAGACCAGGCTGGCCTCGAACTCACAGAGATCCGCCTGCCTCTGCCTCCCAAGTGCTGGGATTAAAGGCGTGCGCCACCACTGCCCGGCTGTTTTTTTGGTTTTTTTGAGACAGGGTTTCTCTGTAGCTTTGGAGCGTGTCCTAGAACTTGCTCTATTACCAGGAAGGTCTTGAACTCACAGAGATCTGCCCGTCTCTGCCTCCCGAGTGCTGGGATTAAAAGTGTGCACCACCATCACCCGGCCAGAGTACAGTCTTGTCTGTGCATGCATGCCATAAGCACACTGGGTTGTCAGCAATGTTCTGGAACTCTCTGAGGGACCTGCCATGTGTCCTCCATCGCCTCCTTCAGCATGCAGCTCTCTTCTCCATGGTCAGAGTGCAGGGACAGCTCAGTTGTCCTGACCCGCTGCGCATAACCCTTCTCCACTGTCTTGATAGTTTCCCTGGTTGACCACACAGGGCACCTACACGGATCCACCTCCTTTGAGGACTGTTGGTGCACACACAGACACACACATGCACGCACACGCACGCACACACAGCTCTGTAGCAGGATTGTGAGGGAGGTCAGAGGTCTGGGTTTGCTCGTCCATGTGCTGTGTGCCTCTAGACAGACTCCTGACCACTGTGGGCTTCCACTTTCCCAGGCAGGAGAGTGAACTGCTGAGACTGTCTGCAGGACATCAGTGTCCCAGGCCTGTCTTACTGCAAATCCTCCCCTCCTCCCCCTGCTCCCAGATGTGGACTGAGTGGGGCCCGGATGCAGACAGCTACCTGAGGCCTGTGCTGCAACCCAGTGGCTCCTTACCCTGTGTCGAAGGCATGGGGCAGGGGGCTTCCTGCATTGGGAAGATGGCCTAGCCAGGGGGTGAGGGAATGAAAATGCCTCAGCTCAGACTTTGGGATAGCCTCTGCTCCAGGCGCTTAGCACCACACTAGTGGGGAGAGCAGCTGGGTGTGCTCAAGCAGGAGGCCAGGCCCTCAGTTGGGGACATGGGCAGCGTCCTATATTTGTTTAGACTGGTTCAGTTCCCCTGCTGCCAGGACACACGGGGTGGAGGACTGCCGTGGAGCACTGTAGGGACGGGGCTGGCTCACAACCAGAGCCTGAACTGGGCTCTCCAGTGGCTGGTGTCAGAATCACAAATCCAGGGATCTGGGACCATGTGCCAGCCCAAGGGTGCAGGCCATCTGAGCAAGCCCAGTGGGTGGCCTCGAGACCTCTTCAGAAGCAGGGGCTGGCAGCTGGGTGGCTCAGATGAATGACACGCTGATCACGAACCCTGGGATCCTGGACACACGGCTTCTGCGTCCATAACCCTGACAGTGTGAAACCCCACACACACAGCCCTGTGCTGCAGGGAAGAGGGGCAGTTGGCACCAGGGAGGAGGCCTGAGAAGAGGTGGGGTTCAGATGCCGTCGACTCCAGTCCTGTCCTGTTGTCCCTGTTCTGGAAGGTTCCTCTGTGGCCTCTGCTAACCCTCCCGTTCTGTGCAGAAGTGCGTGTACTGCCGCAAGCGCATGAAGAAGGTGTCTGGCGCCTGCATCCAGTGCTCCTACGAGCGCTGCTCCACGTCCTTCCACGTGACCTGCGCACACGCCGCCGGCGTCCTCATGGAGCCCGACGACTGGCCCTACGTGGTGTCCATCACCTGCCTCAAGCACAGAGCAGGTGGCGCTGGGGTGAGCGCTTCAGCCAGAGCCCAGCCCACGGGACCCCACCCAGCCTCGCCCACCCAGCAAAACCCCACGCTCACGCGCCATCGCTCCGTCCCCAGGGTCAGCTCCTGCGGACTGTGTCTCTGGGCCAGGTTGTCATCACCAAGAATCGCAACGGGCTGTATTATCGCTGCCGTGTCATAGGCACCACCGCCCAGACCTTCTACGAGGTCAACTTCGATGATGGCTCCTACAGCGACAACGTGTACCCAGAAAGCATCACGGTGAGGGGCAGGGCAGAGAGGGCCAGGGTGGGATGGGCACGCCAGGTGGGGCCTCACTGTCCCCTCCCTGCAGAGCAGAGATTGCTTGCGGCTAGGGCCGCCTCCCGAGGGCGAGCTGGTGGAGCTGCGGTGGACAGACGGCAACCTGTACAGAGCCAGGTTCATCTCCTCGGCCACCAGCCTCATCTACCAGGTGAGCAGCTCACGGCGGCCGGCCCTCTGGCTGACGTCAGCCCCTGCCAGCCCACCCCGTGTCCACGGTCAGAGACCACAGCGCTGAGGACCCCCGCACCGGGTGGAGGCCGGGGTGCTGCCCACCAAGCAGCCTGGGGTAGAGCCACCAGCCTGTGCTGCGCAGCAAAACCTTGTCTCAAAACAGCACGAAGCACAGAGTCAAGCAGCAGCTGTGCTCCCGGCAGGGCAGATGGGGAGGGGAGGGAACGGTCCAGCTCAGCCATCCTTTGCCTGAAGACAGGCCGTTTGGGGACACGCAGCACATGTGTGACCAAGCAAGGCACTGTCACTAGTGGGAGGCCAGCCAGGTCACCCAGCCCCGAAGCCCGACAACCAGGGGAGGGTGTGTGCACACGCCCATCTCACTCCTCTCAAGATGTTTCCAGAAGCCTGTGTGAGCCCTGCAGGGCAGCCTGGGCTGAGGTCTGCAGCTGTTCAGAATGTCAGGCAGGTACAGCTTCTCCTTGGAGTATCACAGGTGGGTGGCAGCAGGCACCTTCCAGAACTCTCCTCCCCCCTGGGGAACCTGACTCCCAGTGTATGGGACTGTCAGCCACACTATGTAGTCCGGCTGCTGCTGGCAGGCCTCTGCCAGGCTCACCCTGCCGCAGTGTCCCCTCGAAGGACCACGGCAACCTTGGCCTCCACCACAGGTGTTCACCCAGCCAGGAGGCCAGGCTGGGGCCTAGGCCACTAGTCACTTGGGCCCTCACTGCTGTTCCCAGAGAAGGTGGCCAAATGCCGAGCAGACACGGTGTTTGCCGCCCACCCGACAGCCTGGCCCATCCCAGTCTTGGGCGTCACTTCTGGGGCAGGGAGCCACAGTGCCACTCTGAGTGGAGGGAAGCAGGTCCCAAGGACCCGGGGACTCCATTAGCCTCCCACCCAGGGCCTGTGCCCTGTCCTCTGCACAGGCGGCCTGGCTTCTGCTGCCCAGGTGCATCTTACCCGTTCATCCATCTTGTACCCAGGGCCACCTGCTCCGAACCTCAGCAGCCCCAGGCTTGGCCAGCTCTCCATGGGGTCCTGTGACCCCCAGGACACCTGAGTCCCTGCCACCTCCGGGCCCTCAGTGGGGATGGGGCAAGTACCCTGTGGCCTCCCCATGCTGAGACCCCATGTCACTGCAGGTAGAGTTTGAGGACGGGTCTCAGCTGACAGTGAAGCGTGGGGACATCTTCACCCTGGAAGAGGAGCTGCCCAAGAGGGTGCGGTCCCGGCTGGTAAGTGTCCTGGGCACCTCCCTCTGGGCCTTGGAAGATGCATGTCCCAGACGGGCTGTCTCCTCTTCCTCCTTCGCCACAGGTGACACCCTAGAACTGACTACGGTCATCCAGAGCTTACCACTCTGGAGTCTGCTCAGCCAGGGGACAGGAGTCTGTTTACAGAGTTTCAGATCTAGGGACAACTAGGTGTGAGTCAGGGTGCAGTGACAGGTGCAGTCTTGAGGGGCTTTGCCATGGCGACAGCCTGATTTATTTCTGTAGTTTTTGTTTTTCAACTCTGCTCTTTAGGGACCCACCACCCAGCTCCCAAATAAACACACGGAGACTTACTCTTACTTAGGAATGCCCAGCCATATCTTGGCGTATTTCTAGTCAGCTTCTAACTTAAATCATCCCATTTCCCTTTAACCACGTTTTACTTCTGGCTTTTTCCTTTCCTTACTCTGTATCTTTCTTTTCCTCTTTCTGCGGCTGACTGGGCATCTGGCCCTGGCATCCTCTCCTCTCTCCAGCCTAGACTCTTCCATTTCTTCTCTCTGCAGTCCCTCTCTCCTGCCTACCTGTTGACTATCAGCTTTCTTTTTTCCCAACTTTTTATTTATTAGAGCAATCAATTGTTTAGACAGGTAAGTCACACAGCTTTACAGAATTAAACAAATGCAGCATAAAAGAAGCAACACATCTTTGCATACTTAGACAAATGTTCCACAGCATAAACTAATGTAACACATCTTAAACTAATTCCACAACGTGTCTCTGATGCCGACAGTCACTGAGCACTGGGACACCACAGGAGCCTGGCTTCTCTGGAGAGGATGTGAAGGCGGCCAAGCGCCCTCGGGTGGCCACCATGCCGGCCAGCACCACCGAGGACACAAGGCACAGCCCGGAATACCTGGCCTTCGTGGAGAGCCTGCTGCAGGCGCAGGGCCGAGCTGGGGCACCCTTCTAGATGCTGCCTGCTCCTGTCTCCACTGCGGGACCTACCTGGGTGACAGGACCAGCAGCATCCAACATGGCCGGACTCAGGGAGAGGGCCAGTGTCCCTGGACTGCAGTGATTGCGTGGGACCCGGCCTGGCTGTGCTTTTCTCCTAAAGGTGCTACGGGGCATCCCAGAGCCTCCTGTCAGACGCCAGCCGAGGACACCGGGGCACAGCCCCAACCTGTTTTCTAGATTTGTGGCTTTAAAAACTGATAGCAGGCACACTCTTTCTCCTCAGAACCAGGATTTGAGGAGACAAAAGCTTCGTCCTCGCCTGCTGCCTGCAGATGTGGCTTGTCTGCTGAGCGGGTGGAGAGACACTTGTACAGGTGTCACCCTGGAGGACGGCAGCCCAGTGCACGGTGATCACTCTGCCACCCGCAGTGGTGTCTTCTGCTTCCTGCTGGGGGAGGCGGGCCCTGCAGAAGCTTGAGTCCCTCCCCTTTCGTCCCTGCCCTGTTCTTGCCCCGCCCCCCACCCCACCCCCAGTCCTCCTCACTCTGCCTCTGCTGCCTGGGATGGTCCCTGTCCCCAGGGGTGAGCCAGGCTCCCGAGGCGGTTGAGTCCCACAGCTGTGGCCTGGGAGCCCGTGAGCCTTCGCCCTTGACAGAGTCTGTGTGGCTGAGGGCAGGAGGGAGCAGCTGCCGCCTCCCTTGCAGCACAGGTGGAGTGACAGAGACAGACTACGTAGCCTGGTCTGCACTAGCGGCCACTGCCCTTGGGTTGGCTCTGTCCCTTTTGATGCCACTGACACCCTGCCCTTCAGTCAGTCCCCAGGGTGGACAGCTCATCTGTAAATGACAAAAGACTGCACAGACAGGCCTGGTCCTGGGGACCTGGAGGGGCTGGGCCTCTGCTTGCTGAGTGCTCAGTGGCTTCCATTGCCATGTATACTTTGAAATTCTATTTATATTGTAAAGAGAATAAAAAGAGCCCGACCTTGGGCCTAGAGGGAGAAGCTGGGCTACAGGGGTCTCAGGCTGTGTCCCTTGTGGGCTTGAAATGGCTGCAGATGGCCTTGCATATGCTTCTCACAGGGAGGCCTGGGTTTTACTTTGTGCAAAAAAGAAAACAAAAAAGAAAACCTCGCCCCCCCACTTTTCTCTCCACCCAGATGAAGGACGCCATATTTTTGCCTCAGTCTCCAGGCTGTGGTTCAGCATCAGTTAAAGCCCTTGACCTCTTCTATTCCCACCTGGCCATGGCTGTGTCCCCAGTTCCCACCAGGGCCAGACAGGCTCAGGGTGGAGGTCTCCTTGACAGAATGATGGGCACATTGTGTCCGGTCTGGATGTAGGGCTGTCAGGAGGTGGACACATCCCCAAGGCATCTCCGTCTCGCCACAGTGTCCACAGGAGTCTGGGCTCTCTGACTCCCCACTTGATTCCCAGCAGTCCAGCTCCGTCTCCTCCCACACTCTCGAGGGTCACAGATAAGCCTAGGGTCAGGCAGATCCCAGCCTATTGGAGGGAGGGGTAGGGACAGGGTGGGCCTGCTGTGGGCTTCAGGGGAGACTTGGGTTTGACCCAAGGGAGGAGGGTGGGAGCCTAGGGGCAGATGACCCTTGTTTTCCATTCCTCTTTGAAACATAAAATGGATTTGGGACAGGCAAAAGCTCTGTCGAGGAAAGGGAAGGCAGCCATGACAGGGATATCCAGGATCCTGTGGGGATGGGGCACTGTGCCAGGAGGGTTCATCTAACCATCTCTGACCCCGCCTGGCACATCCTACTGAGCTCAATCCGTGGCCTGCAGTCCTGGGCCAAATCTAGCCCTAGACCTGTTTTTTGTCAATAAAGTTTTATTTGCACATGGGCCGCCGTGATACTTATTTGCATATGACAGCCATTGGCCCCACCTCAGATTGCTGAGTGGTTGCCTGGCCTGGAAAGCTGAACCTAGCTTGGACCTAGGCCTCTTGCTCCACTGCCCTGGCAGCCATTGCTCCCTGAAGCAGCCCAGGAGCACCGAGTCAGTGCCCACCTCCTTCAGAGTCAAAGCCCACCGCCCCCACCCTGTTCCCTCTGTTCCTGTCACTCAGCACAGTTGCTGCAACTGCACTCAGCTGAGAGCTCGGGGTGGGCCCCAGCCTTGTCCCATCTGAGTACTCCAAGGATGAGTGCAGCTTTGGCTCCCAACCCAGTGGTCACAGCTCGCACCTTCCTGGACAACCATAAAAGCCATGTCCCCTTCTCCTTCCCCACACTGCTCTGTGTCCTGACACCACCCCTTCCAAATACTGGTCATTCGGCTACCCACACCTATGGAGAAGCATTCTGAGGACCTGAGGCAAAAACCCCAGGGACATCACCAAAGCAGCCACAAGGACTGTCCCAGGGCCTCCCACCTGTGCAGGAAGTGAGGTGACCTATGGGGTCTGCTGCCCTCTGCCTGGAAAAACTGAGAAATGGCCACAGCTGAGCAGTGATATGCTGGCCTCAGAGGGTTCCTGCTGTGACAGGTGTCCCCCACAGCCAACAGATGAGCAGATTGGAGACTTCATGTCCATTCTGTCCCTGCACAATCGAGCCTTACCCTCAAAAACCAGAACCCAGGCTATGGCTGCTTGGATGAGTCCTGAGTGTTCATGTTGGTCACCAAGTACGTCCCTGTTGCTGCTTCTACTCATTTTCCGGGGGCTGGGGGATATAAAGTAGGGTCTTGAATGATACATGATAGTCCTTGCAGGCTGGAAGCTTGAAGACCAAGTCAAGGGCCCACAGAGCTATGCCGAACTCAAGGCTCCATGGGCCCAGCCTATGGGAACCCTGAATCCCTTGGCTTCTGGAATGATTGCTCCAGTTCTATCTTGTGACTTAGTCAGGGTTTCTATTGCTGTGACCAAATACCATGACCAAAGCAACTTGTGGAGGAAAGGGTTAATTCAACTCCCACATCACAGTTCATCATCTGGGAAGTCAGGACAGGGACTCCCACAGCAGGACCCTGGAGGCAGGAGCTGATGCGGAGACCATGGAGGAGCTGCTCACTGGCTTGCTCCCCATGGCTTGCTCAGCTGCTTTCTTATAGACCCCAGGACCAGCAGCCCAGGGATGGCCACACCCACAGTGGGCTGTGGCCTCCTGCACTGATTAGGAAAATACCTTACAGCCAGTCTTATGGAGGCTTTTCTCAATCGAGGCTCCTTTTTCTCCGATGACCCTAGCTTGTGTCCAGTTGGCATGGACGGAGCCAGGACCCTGGGATTCTCACAGCTGTGCTTTCTCTGTCTCCCAGGGTCTCTCATAAGGACTCTTGTCATAGGTTTGAAGTCCTCTCAGACAAACCAGACAGGCATCACCCTCAGCAAACATTTTTTAAACTTATATGTTACAGTCCAGTCCCAGCTCCGCCCCTCCTCTCCTCCCACTCTCCCCTCCTTTAACCCTCCCTCCCACCTGCTCCTCAGAGAGGGTAAGGCCTCCCCTAGGATGTCAACTAAGTCTGTCCCATCACCTTGTTGAGGCAGGACCATGTCTACACTGAGCAAGGCATCTCTCCGCAGAGAACGGGCTCCACTAAGTCAGTCTGTGCATTAGAGTTAGGTCTTGACCCACTGCCAGTGACCTCATAGACTGCCCAAGCCACACCATTGTCACCTGTATTCTGGAGTCCTAGCTTTCCCCAGTTGACAGTGCGGACTCAGTGATCTCTCTCTAGCTCGGGTCAGCAGAGTCTGTGGGTTTCCCCATCACGGTCTTGACTCCTTTGTTCATATTATCGCTCCTCCCTCACTTCAGTTGTACTCCAGGAGTGCAGCCCAATGGTTAGTTGTGGATGTCTGCATCTGCCTCCATCTGTTTCTGGAAGAGGGTTCTAGCTTCTCTGGGGTTGTGGATTGTAGGCTTGTTATACTTTGCTTTGTGTCTGGTATCCATTTATAAGTGAGTACATAATATATATGTGTGTGTGTGTGTGTGTGTGTGTGTGTGTCTTTCTAGATCTGGGTTACCTCACTCAGTATGGTTTTTTTTTTCCAGTTCTGTCCATTTGCTTGCAGGTTTAAAGATGTCCTTGTTTGTTACCGCTGAGTAGTATTCAATTGTGTAAATGTACCATTATTTCCGTATCCATCCTTCGGTTGAGGGACATCTAGGTTGTTTCCAAGGTCTGACTATTACAAATGATGTAGCTATGAACATAGTTGAGCAAATGTCCTTATGGTGTGAGTGTGCCTCCTTTGGGTATATGCCCAAAAGTGGCATTGCATGGTCTTGAGATAGATTGATTCCTAGTTTTCTGAGAAATTGTCATACCGATTTTGACAGTGACTGTGCAAGTTTGTACTCCCACCAGCAATGGAGGAGTGTTCCCCTTTCTCTACATCCTGTCAGCATAAACTGTCATTGGTGGGTTTTTTTGTTTGTTTGTTTGTTTGTTTTTTCGATGCAGGGTTTCTCTGTATCTTTGGAGGCTGTACTGGAACTAGCTCTTGTGGACTAGGCTGTTGCCAAACCCACAGAGATCCACCTGCCTCTGCCTCCTGAGTGCTGGGATTAAAGGTGTGCGCCACCAACTTCCGGCTACCATTGGTGTTTTTTATCTTATCTGTGTAAGATGGTATCTCAGAGTGGTTTTGATTTGCATTTCCCTAAGGATGTTGAACATTTCCTTAAGTGTCTTTTGGCCATTTGAAATTGTTAAGAGTTCTCTATTTAGACCTGTATCACATTTTTGATTGGATTATTTGGCAGTTTGATGTCAAGTTTCTTGATTTCTTTGTAAATTTTGGAGATCAGCCCTCTGTCAGATGTGGGACTGGTGAAGATGTTTTCCCATCTTGTAGGCTGCTGTTTTGTCTTGTTGACTGTGTGTGTCCTTTGCTTTACAGAAGCTTCTCAGTTTCAGGAGGTCCCATTTACTAATTGTTGATCTCAGTGTCTGTGCTGCTGGTGTTATGTTCAGGAAGTGGTCTCCTGTGCCAGTACATTCAGGGTACCTCCCACCTTCTCTTCTATGCAATTCGGTGTGGCTGGATTTATGTTGAGGTCTTTGGTCCATTTGGACTTTGAGTTTTGTGCTTGGCGATAGACATGGATCTATCTGCAGTCTTCAACATGCCAACATCCAGTTTTATGCCAGCACCATTTGTTGAAGATGTTTTCTTTTTTCCAGTGTATAATTTTAGCGTCTTTGTCAAAAATCAGGTGTTCATAGATGTGTGGGCTAATATTCAATTTCATTGGCCCACCTGCCTTTTTTATGGTAATACCGAGTTGTTTTCATTACTATAGCTCCATAGTAGAGTTTGAAATCAGGGATGGTGATGTTCCCTTATCGTTCCTGGGTTTTTTGTTTTTCCATATGAGATTTAGTATTGTTCTTTTGAGGTCTGTGAAGAATTGTGCTGGGATTTTGATGGGGATTGCATTGAATCTGTAGATTACTTTTGGTAAGATTGCCATTTTTACTATGTTGATCCTACCTGCCCAAGAGCATGGGAGATCTTTCCATTTTCTAGTATCTTCTTTAATTTCTTTCCTTAAAGACTCAAAGTTCTTGTCATACAGGTCTTTCACTTGTTTGATTAGAGTTTTGGTGCCCCCCTCTTTGGTGACTTGTTACATGAGTTGGCCCTTGAGTGTTTCATGTCCTTGGTCCTGAGAAGGTTAGCGTGGGGCCCCTTCTCCTTTCCTGTCTTTTCCTTTGTGTCTGTCTGGTACCCTGGTGCAGTTGGCAGGAACATCGACACTTAGGTCCAGCACACCTCCTGTGTTTGTTCCCGTCAGTCTTTGTGTGTTTTAGACTTCGTTTTGTCTACGTCTCCTGCCATTAAGAGATGGGGAACTTACCCTCACTGTAAGGAGTCTCAGGTGAGGGTATTAAAATCAATATTAGTTACCAGGTACCTTATGGTTAAGACTGCCAATCTGGAGTATTTTGGGGATGAGGCCGTGGTGTTGGCCCCTGGATTTCTCCCGAAAACATGTGGGAGCCTGACCTATGGATGCGTGTGCTCTTTCTTGCCTGAAAGTGTGAGGTCAGCTCAGGAGTGACCCCCTTTTTCCTGTGCTTTGATTGGGGGTATTGTCATTCTCTCTAAATGTTTCCTACAGGGTATTCCCACACTCCAGGTTCTGGCACTTCAACACCCAGAACGTGGCCCCCCCTTGGGTGGGCTCCTGGGCTGGCTCACAGAAACTCCTGAGGCATCAGTTTGACAGGCATTACCCCCACATGCTTCCCAGAGACGTCATCCTTGACAGTCAGTAGTCAGGGTAAGGACCTGTGAGGCAGGCCAACCTAAGACAGGCGTGGTCCATCATGCTGGATGCTCCCTGAGGCAGGAATAACAGGTCGAAGCTAGAACTTTGTCCTGCTAAGCTGCATTTGAAAACAAAAAAAAAGTGGATATGTAGGAGAAACTGTAGTCAGCCTACCAAGCCGCAGGTGCTCAGGCCAGCCAGCATGAGCATGCGCGGCAGGCACTTCTCCCTGAGCTAACCCTGCCTCTACACTGCCGACAGAGAGACACCTGACCAGAGACACCAATGAGGAAAGGACAATGCAGCAGAGTCAGCCCCTGAGCCACGGCCCTCGGAGCGGGTATAAAGGCTTCCTTAATAAACGAGTCTGCAGCGCACTCTGCTACTCTCTGACTCCCAGGCCGGAGTCGTTGGCGCTGCGTCTTCTCACCCCTCCCGCAAGGGGTGTCGAGCAGGGTCACCGCAGCGCTGCTGTGGTTTCGAGTGCTTCTGTGTCGCTCTTGGTGTTGTTGAGTGTGTTCTTAGCTTGGTGTCCCCCATCTCTTCGTCTAATCCGTATATGTGAAGCCGGTGCTTCAGGGGGCCCTCTCCCTCCAGCTGGTGTGGTTG